ATACCTGCATAACCCTTGTGGCATACTCATCTGTGTTTTGCTGATTACTTACCCCACGTGTTACCTGCATGAACTTTCACTACTAAGCGCTATATGAACTGCTTCATACGTAAATTCCTTAACATATCCGCCTGACTTACTCACCGGGAACCAACTCTCATCCTCAAAGGTCTGCTGCTCCCTGCTATTCCACCTCGGGCCTCCAGAGGATGTTAAGCTAGCTTACTCAGTTCCCCCACTTATTAGTTATAAGGTGTATGATGTTAGTAATTCCTAACTCTCCGTAATTGAGTCTGAGAGAGCCGCCAGGAATTCAGAAGGAATAACCCAAAAAAAACACCACAAGATTCAGAGAACCGTGTGTATCCCCTTTAATGTTACATAACTCCGCAGTTGAGATCCTGATAAACGAGTTAGGAGCATTACAGTGGACAGGACACGGTGTGGCCAGTTGCAAACTGGCAAGCTACAGGCTTGTGAATCAGCAGTCATAATGATGATAGCCTTGCCCACTGCAATGTCTTCTGATCCCAATGTAGTCCAAGCAGGCACAGCCTACTGTACATGCCCACAGTGCTGCTTTGAATTCTGTAAAAGTGCAGCATATTTGTCCTCCAATCATGGGTTGCTGCATTAGGTGGAATTCACTTGCAGGATCAAACAGTATTTGTGGGACTAAGAAAACTGTAAGTGTGGATGCACTTACAATTAAGTGTTGCAGCACTTATTTTTTTGTAAATGGAAAGGTATAGTTCTACATTAAAGCTGAACTCCAGGCACGAAAAAAATAATTTAAATATATACCTCAGTCACACAATATATACAAGTGTCCTGTGGATAACACTGTATACTATATTCTGGAGAGTACCACAAGCACGAACCAGTGTGTAAGGGTCACATTAAAGTCCAGCCCCATGTCTTTACCAAGGCAGGAGCCAGGAACAGCCTTTAAGGCAGGGAAGCTGAAGATCAACCAATCCAGAAAACTACAAAATAAGCTCTCATGGATTGCTCTGGCGCTCTCTTGTTGTTTCATTGTCTGGATCTTTGTTCTAGGAGCCAAGATGAAGATGGCAAACAAGCCCGCATTATTCAGAAAGCAAACTCAAGTAAGAAATAGAAACATCACAGATCAAATACTAAACTGCCACAATGGACAAAAAAAAAAATGTTTTGCTCAGATATTGTTTGGCTGTTTGGCTAAAGGAGGAAGATTTCAATCAGAGAGAGATGGCCACATGTAAAAGAAGGGGACCTCTACAAGCCAAGTGGAAGCAGATGATTCATATCACTAATTTGGGTCACTAAGGGCAAAATATATCAGATCAATGTTATTGACTACAAGGTGACTCTGAACCTAAGCTAGCTTGGTCACACCATAAAATTCAGTGGCATACAGTGAATTTTTTTATGTACGGCATAAAGATACAAATAATTTCTTATCGCCATCTGTTCAACAGTTTATTCTGTTTAGAAGTGAAAGATGTGTGCACATGCATATGTATACTCTGTAAATTTTAAAGTTAATTTCAAACCCACAACTTATATTTAATTTAAATATTTGCATACATTAAAGAGTAAATTTTTGCCTACGAAACACCTGGACGATTAGTTGTCCCAGCATTTAATGCAAATCATGACATGATCCACAGAAAATGTTAGAACTACAAAGCTTATATATGTCCATGTTTGAGATCAATCAGTACCTTTCATAGGCAAACACAAATAAAGGCACATGGCGACATATAGCCATGGCAATTAATAACTGTACAAAACTGCTGGGAAGGCAAGAGCTGTTTATAGTAAATGTATTGGACTGATTCAGAGACGTAAATAGAACCTTCAGGGCCCCGGTGCAAGAAACTATGAAGGCCCCGCCCCCAACCACCATGGCACTGTGTGGTTAACAGGAAGGCTGCTGAGGTCCTGAGCAAGTGCGGGACCTCAGGCAGCCGCTTCAGTTGAAAAATTTTAGTGCCGGTGTTCTGTCGAGAACGCTGACCCAGTATCTGCGCGTACGTAGGCGGGATTATCGAGGAAACAGCCATTTCTTTACAAAGTATTTTGTTTAAATCGTTAATTGTGACCGGTAATAATATGCAGCCCATGGCAGTGAATAATGGATGGAATATTATTAACGGTCACAATTAATGATTTTTAGTTTTTCTAAAATAATACAGACTAATGATTTCAGGACAGTGGTGGAGCGCCAGAGCCAGGTCCCAGCTGCAACCGCTGCAACCCTGGTAGTTCTCATGAAAATGCCAAGTATCTGCACTGGTACTCAAAAAGTATCTGTGCATCCCTAGTATGCAGCATTTTTATTTCTATAGTTATCCAAAAAAAATGTCTACAAGAAAACCTTCTACTAGTACTGTAGCATAGTTGCAGTCCTATAAGCAGAACTCTACCCCCCTTCCCCACCAAAAAAAAAAGCACTCAGGCAGGCTTTTTATTGCAAAAAGACATACTATGTGCTCTGTCAACAATCTGCCTAACTGTAGACTGAAATAGGCCCAAGTCTTTAGAAATTCTTTTCTAATGCTTGAAAGTTTAATTATTTTTGCCATTTATAAGGTATTGACACTTTTTTTTACAAGAAATATAGCTCTGTCCACTTGAGCCCCAAGGAAACCTTGCAGCTTGATGCGACTATCATGAACACATCTATGCGCATACAGTCAGGCCATCTTTGTGTGAAAGTATATTAAGCTGTCAGTATGTTATCTGAAGGACCTTAATTATTCAAACATTTGTACAACAGCACAAAGGTTATTGCAAGCATGTAAGATTTTGTTTTTAATGCACAAATCCAGAAAATTCCAAAAGGTTCACAAAACTCTTTTCAAAACTTAACATTTGAACAGATTCTACACCACTGTCCCATTTTTATTCCCTCAGGAAAATTAATTCTGACAGATGTTACACAAATACCAATTTGCAAAGAGCAACCAATAAACCTTTTCATTTCTAAATCTTGCAATGCACAAGTACATCTGTGTACTGCATTATTTCAGTTGGGAATATAGGGATAGTTTGTTGAAAGTTAAACTCCAGGGAGCAATACTTAACACAATTTAATCCAGTTACGTATTTATTAAAATATTAATGGCATGTATTTTTACATCAAACTTGTATATGTACCCGAATATGCCTTAATATTAGCATTCTGTAATCTTCTGAACACCAAGACGTTGTTGTTGTTGCTCCCTCTCCCCCCTGCATGGCCTAAACAATTTAAAAATATTCAACTTTATATTCTAAATTAGTAGAAATTTGACTTTTTACAGGCATTCAAGGCTCCGAGCATTACCAGAAGCCAGGAGCATAAAGTGAGGCACCACGCGTAACATCTCACATTTTTCACTGTCACTTTATGGAACTACATTTTCCATGATTTCATGGGAATGAAGTTATGACTGTGTGTGGATTTTTGGGCAGTGACAGCCGCACACGTCTGTCATTGCCCTGTGAATAGGACAAGATCAGGTGCTTTGCGGATCAAACCTACCCACTGAAGGCAGAACAATGTAAAGATGTCAGCACTGCCTTCACAGAACTATAAGGAGGAGGAAACGCAACTGGTAGTACCACAGGGAGAGCAATGGCAGATGGTCGTGCAAATTTTATATAATATAAGAATCCCGGTGAAGCTGAACATTCTGACAATATCTGACAAGGCTGTGGCTTTCAATCAATATTTTATTTTTTTTGTCTGGAGTTTGGCTTTAATTACAGAGGAGAAAACTAAGGTTGTCAGTATAACCATTGTCTATTAATTTCCAAATATTTTGGGAGATGAGACAGTTACCACAGTCTTGGGATAAGGTCCTCTAGCATCCAAAGTACTAGAGCCCCCTCTCCCCCTTCCATTTTGCCCAGTTTCCAACACATTTATTTTCCTATACCCTGTCTTCCCCACTATGATACCCTCTTATATTGCCACTGTTAAGACGTGAACATGTCCCCCAAATTGTACTTTTCTGAGGGGTGGGAAGTGCAATCAGATATCAGATTGGGGGCAGGCTTCCACAGACACAGCATTCCTAATACAGGCAGGAGCAGGCACAGAGAGAAGGCAATTATAATTCTTGTATCATCTCCCAACACAGCTGACAACCATCCATAATCCAGAGTTCCAGGTCTTAAAAAAAGGTCTTGTAATGCTTGGACTGGCTATAGAGGGCTCAGTGAAAACAGGAGATGTCCTTAATTTCTAGCATTACTTGCAATTATCAGGCCCTTTCTTTACTGTAACAGGTCAGGTAGCTGGAGGCATTTACTATTGCTGAGGGATACATTCCAATTTAGAGCAGCAAAATGGGCACATAGCAATCAGAACAAGTCAAGTAAATGCTGAATTTATAAATGTATTTATAGCATGCAGTGCAGCACTACACAGCATGGACATTCAACTGGTTGCAGACTGAAACTTCTGTACTATTTGGTGGCTTGTCCTTTTACACCACTGCACAATAGCAGCATAAGGACAGCAAGCGGTTGATGACTACGAGCTATAAACATCCATAGGTTGCAAGTACCTCTACCACCAACTAATCAGCCTGTCCCTGGATGAATTAAATGTATACCAACTGTGTATTAGTCTGTTTGAAATTGAGCTTTAAGGGCTTGTTTACACTGTTCAGCTACATTTTTCTGCACACCACTGCACATGTATCATGTAACCAGGGCACATAGAAACACATAGAGGGGAATCTATCAAAACTGAAGCAAACAGAATCTGGAGCAGTTACCCATGGTAACCCATCAGCATCTCAGTTTGCCCAGGTAAGATTTGAAATGAGAGACAGAAGCTGGTTGGCTGCAGTGCAAATCTCCTCAAGATTTTGTCTGCTCCAGTTTGGATCAATTCCCCCCATTAATTTTTATATGCCTTGTTCATGCCATAGTTGTTCGGTGGTGAGTAGAGAAACACAGACATGGTGTGAACAAGCCCCCTTTCTTATTATTTATGAATAAAATACATACATATTTCTTACCTGAATTCACTAGTTTCTGCTCCATGATACCACATCCTAGAACTTCCATCCATTCCCCCTGAAACTTGATCTCCATCTCGAAAGATGGGTGGGTAAATGGGAAGTAGCAGTCTACCCATCTAATCTCCAGTCCTGAGGATGAATATAAAATACATCAATTGATAGCTTTTCTCCAACATTGGATATCTAAGAAAACAAACAGCATAAATGTTTAATCACATTTTCCTAGCTGATAATTCTTGATACATAAAAAATGCCCCAGTCTACTGTAATCAGAAAAACATTTTATGAAATTCAGACAGTCTGTGAAAGCAAATCAATCATGTGTCAGATTTTTGCTGCTATCTGGCAGGGAGGAAAATAAGGAAAGATCACGAAGATAGCAGGAAGTTCTGTCATTCTCAGTAAATGGGAACGACTGGTAACCACTAAGAGTATTCTTTTTAATAGAGCTGCACATGACAGAATGTGCTGTCTTCACAGACTCTACAAAGTCATTTTTAATAAAAACACAATTGTCTAAATTGTCACAGTGCATCTACAACATATTGTGAAAGCACAAAAATAACCAAATATATGCAGTTTCTTATTCTGCGTTAACTTTATACTAGAAGCGAGTGTACTATGGAACCCACCCCCCCAAAAAAAACAGAACTGCATACTTGCAATTTACAAATTTACAGCTATATAAAGTTGTTGAAAGTGATAAACACATCAGCCAGTTTGAAAGAGAAAAAAATATATAAAGATCTCTCATGAATGGCGTAACAGAATAGAATAAAAGTGACATGCCACCCCAGCTCCTGTAGGGTGCTGATTTTTCTGCCCCTGGCTATCCTGTGCTGTGAGACTCCCAACTTCTGTGGTGCTTTAAGCATTTTGTGCTGGGTCTGGTGCTGCAGAGAAGCACTATTGTTCCAAGCACACACAGCCTGCATAGGAGCACTCCTGGTACTAACACAGCCCCTTACACTGCATTAAAGCCCTACTACTACCAGCACAGCCCAGTGCCCTGTAGAGGAGCATTACTGTTACCAGCACAGACTATTACCGTGCATGGAAGTCCTACTAGTATCAGCACAGTACCCTGTACAGGAGCAATAATGGTGCCATCACAAGCCAGTGTCCTGCAAGGAACACTACTGGTACCAGTATAGTCCAGTACACTGCATAGCAGCACTATTGGTATTGGCACAGCCCTGTGCCCTGGGGAGCCCTACTAGTCCCAGTACCCTGTACAGGAGCATTAATGGTACCAGCACAGCCTAGTGTCCTGTAAGGAGCACTACTGGTATCAGCACAGTCCAGTATTGTACTGGTAGCAGCACAACCCAGTACTTTGCACAGGAGCACTTTTAGTACCAGCATAGCTTAGTTTAGTTTACCTTGCTTTTTCACCTGAGGGACAGTATTTGGTTGCCTGCAGAGATGCCAAAAAAGCCAAGGGAAAAGGTGCGTACATCAGTGCAATTACTACAGAATGGTGCAAGGATGCTAAACAGAGGTAAAATGGCAATAGGGGAGGAGATGGCGGCTAGGCTGCTGTGATCTGTACATACTAGGGGCAGATGTCATTGGTGGTGAGTTGTACATTTTGAAGATATTTGGGGAAAAGCTGTTTGCTGGATTGCAGATCTAATTGGTGGTTTGAATATTGGGGTGTGAGGTATGGGCGCATAAATATGGTGGAGTGTGTGGAGTGTGTGCTGGGCAGAAAATCTAATCAGTGGACTGGATATTTGGAAGTGAGCAGTGTCCTGGCGAGCAGATTCAGTGGGTCCCTGGAAAGGGCTGTGTGTACTATGGTACATATCTTAAGAAGTGATCTAGTTGTGAGTGCTGGATCACTGATCGAACCGGTGGCATGGATACTGGGGGAAAGCTGTGTGCTGCACCACATAGCTCACTGGTGGCATGCTTACCAGAAAGTAAGCAGTGTGTGCTGAACCACAGATTTTACTGATGGCATGCATACCAGAGAATAAAGCTGGCCATACACCTATAGATCTGCAGATTTTCTATGGTCAGATGGAAAAAGTGCAACAGATTCCTCCTCCATTTACACTAAACTGTGTGGATGGAGGAATCTCCCACTGGGCCAAGCTTCCATATCTTGCTAGTCGGCCCTGCAGGCTCTCAACATACCTGAACAATGGCTGCATCCAATCAGATTGATCAGGCATTTTGACAGCCAGCGGAGCCGACTAGCAAGATGCTGAAGATTGGCCCAGATTCTGGAGATTCCTCCATTCACACAATTTAGCATAGATGGAGGAATCTGTTGCACTTTTTCCATCTGAACATAGAACATCTGCAGATAATTTATAGGTGTAAGGCCAGCTTAATCAGTGTGTACTGTACTACATATCTCACTGATGGCATGAATACCAGAGAGTAAGCAGCATCCCATTGGTGGCATGCATACCGGAGAGTCAGCAGTGTCTGCTGGATCAAATATCTCACTGGGGGCATTACTAATGACAAAAGAGCTGCACATGCTTGATAAGATAGTAGAATATTGCACTAGTTGCATAGAAATGCTTTAGTGAGCTGTGTCTACTGGGGGAGAATAGCTCATTGGAGGTGTTGATTTTAGGAGGTGGATTTTGCATAATAAATCACAGCTCTAAGAGATGGCATACCAAGGGGTAAGCTGTGTGTTCTATGTCACACATGGGACTAGTGCTATAGATACCAGAGAGTGAGCTGTGTGTGTTGTGGGATAAGTCAAACTAATTTCCTCCTATACTTCACTTCCTTTGTGTACAGGATAACTGTGATGTACTGTGCATGAATTGTTACATTCGAAATCCAACAGAGCACAATTTTTATTGACTGTCCATAACTAAGTTTCTTCATGAGGATATGAGTTATTGAAATTTAGGCCTCATTCACAACTAAATATTTAGGTGCGATTAAGGATTCCTGTGTCAGGAACTTGCATTTTCCGTTTACAAGTGGCAGCTGTCACCCGTTCAAGTTAATGATCGGGTGTCAGCCGCTGTATTTGAATGCCAGCACACATGTAATCATATATGTGATTACATGCGGTTAGGAAGAGATCACTATCACATCGATCATGCGTCCAGGGAGAATAATGTATCACATACATCACATGCGGTGTGCCGGTGTTCAAATGCAGCGGTTGACATCCGCTCATGAACAAGTGACAGCTGCCGCTTGTAAACGGCAGATTAGAGATTTCTGCTGCAGTAAAACGCAAGTTCCTAATGCAGGAATCCCTAATCGCACCGTAAGATAGAGGTTAATGGGACATTAGAGTCTGGTCCTACTCTCAAAGAACCTGATTGGTATATATTTTTATAATGTGTTGAAACATATCAATTATTAACAATGAAGAAGAACGAGTAAATCAACTAATCTTGGGATCTTAAAGTAGACAAAGTCTTTAACCTTATATTTCAAAAAGGTCAGTTATAAATTATATAGCATCAACAATATGATTCTCTAGCTGTTCTTTTACTTGGGTCTATTTAACTTTCTATTCTGCAGCACTGAGCTATTAATGGGTGGCTCTCTATCTGTCCCTCCACCCCTGATGATATCACCAGTGTAATCCAGTGATCAGAGGCATGAGTGGGTGGGATAGGCCTCTAACAAGATAAATAAAGCTCAAAGCCATGTGTTATGCTATAAAAAGGGAAGTTGCCCAGACACTTTTAAATGTGTACATCATGGACTGTTGCATATTTACAGAACTACAGTATATATTTACAGAACAATCTTTCTTTTTTTTAAATAATAAGTGTTTATTAAGGGTTTTAA